CTCTCTCTCCCTCCCTCTCTCTCTCTCTCTCTCTCTCTCTCTCTCTCTCTCTCTCTTTCTCTTTCTTTCTCTCTGTTTCCCGCCTCTCTCTGTTTCCCGCCTCTCTCTTTCTCTTTACACCTCCCACCCCGCTCATCTCTCCCCTCTCTCATTCTAACGCAATATAATACATTCATCATTGCGTTGTGATGTGTGTTTCACTTTTCTTTATTCAATAACAAACAACAACAAAACAACAACAACAACAACAATCGAGCGAACAATAAACAGGCAAACAAACAATTAAACAACCAATAAGCCAACATCAAACAGACAATCAAGCAAACCAATAGACCTACCGTCTGTTTCGCAGACAAGGCTGAGGGCGGAAAGGGGAAACATCTGCTTCAAGCAACCTCGCCGTGGCGATACGACAGGGAAACCTTGAGGAGGAAGACCGTAAAGAAAGGTGTTAATAAATATTGCAGAAGACAGCAGGCAGTAGGCCTGTTATTATTAAGAAATGTTACTTTGTTTTAACTTTGTTAAATGATGTTTACATATGAAGAGCATAGGGGGAAAACGACGGTAGTCACAACCTTGAAATTGTGAGGGTGCCAGTTTCAAAAGCTTGTGGACTCATAATTTCAAATTTTTTGACCAGTGGTTTATTGTTAAGTGTTGTTGAATGGGGAATCTAACAACAATAATCAACCAATAGTTGAACAGAAATACAGTTGTGAGTCAACGAGCGTTCAAAATTGGTACCCTCACAATATTCAGTTTGTGACTACCATCGTTTTCCCCTAGTAGTCTTCATACATATTATATCATTATTATGAATGATAACATACATGTACATATTATTATATCTTGCAGACTCGATTTTCTCAAATTAATTTTATTCCGGGGAATGGGGCGTGATGGGGTTTAAACATGTGGGAAACGTGTAGCCAACATGTACTGATACATGCCAATACGCTTACACGCATACTTAGGCGTATTCAGTCTCTCTCTCTCTCTCTCTCTCTCTCTCTCTCTCT